GGCTGATTTTTGCCAATGCCTAGACAACATTTAAACATGCTCATAACCCTCATATCTGTAATATTAAAGTTGAGACTCAAAATACAAGGAAAAAAAACAACAATTTCTCTCCAAAATCTCAAACGCATTCACAATTTAACTTATATCATTAAATTCTGACTTGTTATATATCAGGTTGTACCATTTTTTAAAATCATATAGTTGTCATGTGAGAGCCATTTCCTCATTGTATTTTTTGTCTATGGTCCAAAAATGTATCTTTAGGTAATTAATGTTGTATTCATCGGATGGTGGGCCATTCTCAGCAAACAGTAACAGAGACTTTGTAGTGGTATAGTGTGTATGAAGCTTATACAACTGTATCAGGCACAGTGAAATTGCTGAGGTGTCACTGAGACCAAGTCTAGGCTGAGACCAGTCCAGTGAGACCTGTCCAGTATCTTAAAATATCTAGCCAATGGTGGTCTTGCGATCAGAAACTGCTAAACTATAGTTTCTAACTGTACAGCAACACACTGTACCAGCGATGTAGGTGTGTTGTAAGTGGCCAGTAAGTGTATAGTGTGTAACAAGTCCAGAAACCCTGTTGTATCTGATACATTATATCAGTGCAGCACACACCAACATGTCACTACCATCTCAATGTCACTGCTGTACTAAGAATGATCCACAACCCAAATATAAAATATAATGGTGGTCCTACTCTCCATTTTTTTTTCCATTTTCCTTTAACAATGTGTGTATGCTTAATCAATATGTTAAAGACTACCTAATTAATAATTTTACTACTTACTGTTGACAATGGGCCCTCAACAACAAGGACTGGAATGACGTTTTCCCATTCACCCCTTTCCTGTTAACTTGATTTGCCAGTTTTTTTCGCAGCATTTCTATGACTCTTCATGCTGTTGTTTTCACATCTGTCCCCTCAGCCAATCCTATGTTTGTAGTCTGCAAAATAATTTAAATAACTCCTAAATATGGAAGCTTGGAGAAAAAAGTCCCCAGGTTAAGATGCCAACCCCCTTATTTTCTCTCCTGATGAAATAATGGCCCAAATCTAATCTTAACAAATTTATTAAATTATTTCCCTAATCTTTTTGTTTTGGGCTCAGCTGACCAATAATTTTGGTCAATGGGTTCTAGTTATGCATGTATTTATATTAAATTAATAAAATGTATTTATATTACTATTAATATTAAGTAATCTCCGATGATCTTGCAATTAATGAGTCCTCAAGTTCTGCAACGCTTTGGGAATTCTGGGGCAGTGATGATATTCGATATGTTTTATCTACGTATCTGCTGATGCTGATACATTAACATTTATAAAATGTAGAAACTGAATACAAATTCCACAGTAGATAGAACACACATGCTCTCTCTTGGCTAATTAAACAAATGGTGGCAAGGGCTTCCTCCACTGACAAGAAAATTCCTCAGTCTGAGGAAGATTTTTCCTCACTGCTACAGAGTTTACTCGCTGCTAGCTGAGTGTTTTTCGCTCAGGCTATAGTGTTTGCCCACCATTACCTAACTGATTCTCCCAGTGAGCAAACTCCTTAGTTGTGAGGGAAAACGCCTTGATCAAGATAAGCATTACAGAGATATAACATATCTAACAATATGACATTTATTTCAATATTGTTATGAAGGCCGTAACCCTAACAAAATACAGATATTTTTAGCAGAGCAGGGTCACTACTGTTCTGCTTGGCTAATGTTAATTTGTGCATATGCTAGTGGCATAACAGTAAAGACAGCAAAGAGAGAAAAAAGCTACAGACTGCTGCCATCTACAGGCTGCTACTACACCTTTTAGGCAGCAGAAAATGCCGCACCACATTGTATTGTAATAATTGCAATTAAAGTAAAAAGAATTTCTAACAAGAATAACTTATTTTGAAAAAAATCATTGATATCTTGTGACCTACTTTGAAGAACAGCATTTGGTTTTCAGATTTCTCCTAGTTGTCCTCAGCCATTATATGGATTTATTAAATTCCATCAATACACCTGGTTTAACATAATAGAAATGGTTAAATGAACACACTGACACATAGTGTAAAAACACTACTTGTCATTAATATTTGCATTTATTGTAAAATAAGTGTTTCCTGAGCAAATAAATGTTCACTCCCCAAACAAATAAAATAAAATTTAAATAAAATATACTGCAAACACAGTGTCCACTTACTATGAACATGAGAGCAGCAGAAAACTGCAAGTGAGAGAGTGGCCTTCCACAAGAGAAAACTAAAATAAAAATATATATAATCATAAATAAAAACCCACATTCAAAAACCAACTAATCACCTTTGATTAAACTACACTCTGATTATTCTTTCTCTTTCCAGCTCTTTTGGTAATAAAAGTCCTGTTTTAATCCACCTCACGGTAATGTAACAAAATCTGCTAATAGACATCGGCATTTCTGTTTTTAGGTGACTTGGAGACAATGCTAATCACTAAAATGGAGCTCTTGGCACAGTTCCTTTATCCTCAAGTTCAAACAGGACTACTGTGATCTACAGCATTGTTGGTGATGGGCTGAGTAGAAAGAGAATGAAATTAGATATCCAAAGCATCCTTTCATAAGACAGCAACATTTCTGTCCTGTTACGACACATTTGTCAAGTTTAATGAGCACACATTTTTTGCCTAACGCTATACTATTTGGTATTAACTGGAAGTTAGTTTTTATTGTTTGTTTGGATTTGTTTAATTCTAACTCTAAAGGCTGTTACATACCAACGCGACACAAATGAAACGGCTCAAAATTGTAAAATAATCAGACACAATTTTTTTCCGTATCAAACGCACTGGACACAATGCAATTACTTATGCAACATTTCTTTATTTGTTGGAATTTCGCCACAAAAGCTAACAAATGGCTTTTGTGGTGAAGTGACAGATTTCCTTTGCTCATCAAACAGCAGGTAAACCATGACACTGAACTTCTGTTCCTTCTGGAAAAGTAAAAGGAGCACGGAGAGTTTCACCACCACATTCCGCAGCTGGACCTTTATATGAGATTCACATACAGCTTGAATATGTGTAATAAAGTTTTAACTGCTTTTGCTAACACCATCCACAAGGAAGCAGAGAGCGAACGCTGGTCAGACAGTTCTGTCTGCTGGTCGTCACGCTGCCAACACCAGAGCCCAGAGTGGAGTCACTCTGTGGGTCAAAGTTTGCCAAAAGCGAACAGAGGCTGAAAAACTCATTTTTAGCCATCTGAAAAAATGTGCTTGGTGTGAAAGAGATCATCATTTCTACACATGCTTGATTTCTCTATAAATCATGCTCGGTGTGTAAAGGCTTAATGCTGAAGTGAATGTCTGAGCTAAGAGATTTTGGGGAAATTACAGATAGCTTACTTTATCCCACACAAACTGGCCAGTCGAATCACTTATAAATTATGCCACATCTGGTAAAACCACTCCAGTTCATATAGGGCTTATGTCTAAAATATTTTCTAACTACTGCCAATGTCTATTTTAAAAAATAACTTAAACGTATAGCTAGCTAACTTACGGTCACAGTAAGCACCCCACATCAGTGTCCCTCTCTGTAAACCCTCTGTGCTGCCGCTTATATTGGTGCCAGAATACACCGGATGCTGACAAACCAAGCTAACTTTACCTTCATTTCTAAAGCTAGCAAAAAGAAAGCTACCAACAAATGGCAAGCTCTAAGTTATCACTGACAGAAGGAAAACATGTTTCCCCTAAAATATCTTTTTAACAAACATGTCCATACAGACTATGGCTGCTGAGCAAGCTCACTTACCTACTTAAATGTTAGCAGCTGCAACTGGAAAAGAATGTTTGAGTTGGCGCTAGCTAGCTAACTTTAGCAAGAAGGCGATGGCTAACGTTAGCTAGCATGAGAAAACTGACTGGTTTGGTTTTTCAATGAAAAACTACATTTGACTGCAGCTAGCTAGTCACAGGAACTGTACAAAGCGGAATTTCAAAAAGAGGAATGTCCACCACTCCACACTTTCCTCAGCAACTGCTGATTCAGCTCACTCCTTTTGATGCGCACCAAGAGCCAATCCCATAAGGCACTGCAGCATTTACAGAGAACTGGGAGCCCAAAATCCAACTAGAACAGTTGTGAACAGCACATGAAGTAACATCTTCACTCTGAGTGCTGCAGTTTTACAGTGGCTGTTGAATGTTGAGTGAATATTTTCATTTAAAGTTTGTGATCATTCTCAGCTGGTTAGCCTATTACAGTGAAGGCAGAATCTAGTGGAGTGGGTGCATTATTAGATAGATTTCTAATATTTCTAACATATTTATTGTTTTTATTATTATTATTATTATTATTATTATTATTATTGTTGTTGTTGTTGTTGTTGTTGTTAAAATGCATACAGATAATTAAATTAAAGAATAAACAAACATACAAAACTATTGATAAGTATTAAAAAGATGTAAAATGAATTATTATTATTATTATTATTATTATTATTATTATTATTATCAAACTTCACAGGAAATCAAACCGTGTGGCAGCAGGCTTCCTGTTAGTGCACTACACTGAACCTGCTTTAGGTGCATTAAGGTGCATTTTCAAGCATTACAATGCAGTGTTTTGAGAATGACTGGCAGAAAAATGAAGGAATCCTCAAACTGGACTGCTTTGTGAATTGTGATTCGGCTCAGATCTGGCGTGCCATTAATGAGCCGGAATACACTCAGCTGACAGAGCCCAGATCTATCTTACTAGGTGGGTCCCAGTCGTATGGCAGAGCGTGTCCAGCCTTACTGTTTCCCAACGGTTACACAATGCAGAGGGTTTTGGAGTGCAGGTTACATATACACAAAATAAAATGTGATATGTAATAATCAGGCACACCTCCACTCTCCTCATACTGAGTCTGTATCCTGTACTTGGCTGTGGTTGCTGATGTCATGTCGGCAAGCTTTCTTCATTAGAATATCCGCCCCCCACCCTCCTCCCCTTACTGTAAGAGGATAGCAGTGGAACCTGCAGAGAGGAAAGAGCAGTTCTTTCTCTGCCACATGATCACACACAACTGTCCAGTACAATATGAGGAAACTAACTCTCGCTCTCTTCCTCGCTGTGGTGAGTATCTGTGATGGATGTCATATCTGGACTGTGGTTTCTGTTAAAACCTTTACATTATCATATTCTGCAGTGCAGTCAGGGCTGACTGGTGGGAGAATCTATACATTGACTTTCGAACATAGCTTGAGTCAATGTTCGAATTATTACTAGCAGTCAGAATTATACATATATCAAAGAAGAATCAGCCTGTTATTTATTCAAAGCCAAACAAATGTGTTCCAATTACTTATATTTACTCAGTTCCATTTGCTCAAGAAATATGTATTAGGATTTGTGACCTGAGTGCTATCAAAGGAAAATATGTTTACTTCTATTAAAGTGTATTAGTGTGCAAAGTGATCTACTTTTCTTCATATACCTTTCAGTAATTAATATTTAGTGCCTAATTATTGGGTTTAGTTTCATTTAGTTGTGTTTAGTTGTGTAGAACTTGCTCAGTACTTGGGTAGTTTTATGAGCTGCTGCACTTTAAAAAAGATGGTTCTTCAATGGTTCTTTCATGAAGGCTATGGTTCCCTTTACACCCATGAGTTCTGTATAGGACCATTTTGTACTCAAATGGTTCTTTGCCTGGTGAAATGGTTCTTCAGAAGTTAAAAATATGTTAAAAATAATTGCATAATAACATGTATAACTACATAACAGTGTAATTTTTGAAGGTGAAATGTTGGTTCTTTCAGGTCAGCAGAGGTATATCTTGGTCATTATCATTTCTTCTTTCTATTATACCATTTATTCTCTTAAAAATGAAGATGCTGAATATGGTTGTAGCGATGCCATAGAAGAAGCACTTTCATTCATGAAGCCTTAGATAGATAGATAGATAGATAGATAGATAGATAGATAGATAGATAGAAATAAATACAAAAAAAACCTATCTACAGGCATATATACCAATGGAAATATACAAAAATCTGCAATAAGGTCTATAACCTGAGATGAAAAAGGCTGTGCAATATTTACTGTACAAGGAGGCACGGGTAATAGCATATAATGTCAATACTGAATACATAAATAAATAAATAAATAATAATAAATAAAAATAAATGGAATGGAATGGAAGCTTCTCTAAAGAACCATTTTTTAAATGAGATGTGCGAGTGTGAAGAATCTTTCTGAAGTATAATGTGGAGGTTCTAGACAGCGGGGTTCCTTCTAGATCCATACATTCAAGCCAAGAACCTTTTAGATACACTTATTATACTTTATTAATGGTGCCAAAAAGCATTTTTTCAGAACTATGCCATAGAATAAAACACACTTGATTCCCCAAAGAACCTATGAATGTAAGATTATTTAAAGAACCATTTTTGTAAAAGAGATATGTGAGTGTGAGGAACCTTTCTAAAATTTAAAGAACCTCTACATAATGCAAAGGTTCTATACCAAGTGAAAGTTTTTCTTAGGACCATATGTCCAAGACGAGAACCATTTTGGAACATTTTTGGAAATAAAGGTGTCAGAAAGTGTTCATTGTACCGATGTTCTAAAAGAAACACGTATGCTTCGCTAATGAACCTTTCAGTGGAAGGTTCTTTGAAGAACCATTTTGTAAATGAGAAAAACCTTTTAGGCACCCTTATTAAACTTATAACCTTTAGAACCCTTGGGGAATTTTTAGGTATTTTGGGTCAATTACAATTGCAGTTGTAAAGTATTTACATGTGACAGTCACACATGCCATATGTTGTTATTTTCAGGAGACCCTGGGCTACTCAGATATGCCATTGTTTGACATGTAAATGCTAACAGGAATTTGATATCTTTATAAGTTTGGGTCATTTCTGATCAAAAATTTACCTTGCGCCGGCAAAATTTTGTACATTTTTTGCTTATAGAGATCTTAAAAACAAGTTGCATCTCAGATACCTTTTCAGAAATTGTAAGTCTGGAGTGACTGTGAGCTGAAAGTGCCAGAATTTTGATGGTAATTCACTCTGTTGGTTATTATGAGCAAAAATAAACAATTAGCATAAGGCGTATATGTTTTTTATTGATTTTCTGCCCTCTTGGAGTCCTAAAACTCTAAAACACAGCAAGACAGGCTTAATTTTTAATTACAAAATGAGTTGCATATTTAATATCAGATATTTTTAATACTCAAAATCAATGTAAACTGAAAGACCCTTTAAAAACCCTTTCCCTTAAAATGTGTTTCAGGGCCTATTTGTGTGATTTTGAGGGAAAGGGGGAAATGTGCACTCATTGTGTTTAATGGGACAAGGCCATTTTATTGCATTTTATCACCTTTTTTTTGTTGGAATATGAAGGCCAAAAAGCAGAGCAATAATTCTAGGATTTTAAGTGATTTTCTGAGCGAAATTACTTACTGATGCTGACGACACAGCTTGATGCATCATGCGTGCTAGTTAGGGACGGGTCAGAATGTTCTGATATGTGGATCATGTTTGTACCTTAAACTGTTCTGAAGTTATGAAGGCTAGAAGTGACCTACCATTTTGCCCGCAAATTGCAGACTTAGGGTCCTAAGTTAAATGAATGGTGTAAGAAAGAGTTCTTTAGAATTATGCCATGGAAGAGCCACATTAATATGAATGTCACACGTTCAACAATAGCACACATGAATGAACTAGGCAGGCTTTATGTTTGAGGGTGTAACTTTGAGAAAAAAGAAATGCGTTAAACTCTCTGAATATCACCTGTCAGAGGGAAAAACGTTCTGCTGTCAGTGTTGTTTGATTTAGCACACAAAGCTAAACCACTGCTCTCGCTAAAAATGTTGATCTTGAAGAACTAGAATTATTCACCTTTAACCTTGCAAGAACAACTGGAGTTTTACATTCGAAACAAATAGTTTTTACCTAATATCACAACAAAGGTACAGTTCAATGACCTTAAATGGGAATTATATTGATTTTCTTTCAAAATACCTGCATAATTAAATGGTTAAGACGTAAACAGAGTCATTTAGGGTGGTTTGGCGTGAAATGCTCTGTTCTAGATAAACTTAGAGTCAGAATTGTTCACAGTGGTGTTGATAGGAACCAGACGTCCACCTCTAAGGCTGTGTTCACATTAACAGGTCTAAGTGGCACAAATCTGACGTTGCCCTAATGTGACTCAGATTTGATGTTTTCAGAGCTGTGTGGACACATAATCTGATCCTTTCAAATCTGACTTGAGCCACTTTCATATGTGGCCCAAGATCGTATATATATATATATATATATATATATATATATATATATATATATATATATATATCTGATTCATGGTCGTGTAACCATAATGAGAACACTCAGATCGAAATGTGCATTCATTCAGTGTTACTCTGGCAGCAGCGCCAAACAAAAATTAAAGCCTGTAAATGGTGGAAAAACCTAAATAACTGTGAATCATCATGTTAGAGAGATCAGATCTGAACAAAAAATCAGATTGAACATTGAGGTCTGTTATGTGAACGTAGCCTAAAAGCTCCATCACAGAAAGTCATTACATGAAATGATTATGAATGTGCTGCCTGATGCCTTTGCAATAGTTTTGAGAGATGATTTTGGCCTTAAATATGTTTTTTTTAAAAAATCCAGAGATATATGCAGAGGAACATAAAGAAAAACACTGCATATAAAACCAAGCAGATGCGTGTAGGTTGACAGGTGGTTTTGGATAGAAAATAAAATGCACTCTTAAAAAAGATGGTCCTTAAGTGCTCTTGATTAAAGACAGTGGTTCTCTATAGAACCATGAACATTAACAAAAGTTTGCAGGCTTAAATGGTTCTTTGCATAGTGAAATGCAAAGTGTGTTGTATATGGTTGTATATACAATCTCTTTGAAAATGGTTCTATTTAGCATCGTAAAGAGTTCTTCTATTTTTACAACATTGACATTGTCACAATAGCAGAATGCTATATACAACCATATACAACACATTCTCCATCAATCTGAAGAACCATTTCATCAAGTTTTATTACACACTTCTATAATCTAAGAACAGCTCAGTCAGTTTGCACTGAAGTCCCTGTAGTTACTGAATTATAAGCCTTAGTATGTAATAAGAGATTTTCAAAGGGTTAAGCATACAAATGGTTATCTAAGTGTTCATAGTTCTATAGAGAACTATTATCTTTAAAGAACCCTTGAAGAACCATCTTTTTTACGAATGTATGTTTGTGTTTTAAACATGGCGACCCCTGGTTCCTATCTCCACCACTGTGAAATTATAATTGGTATTTTTCTCTAGAACAAGGCATTTCACATTAAACCACTCTGAAGAACTGTTTGACTCCTTGAAATTCCAAGGCCTGCCAGGAGGCCCAAGGTTTTATTACACAATTCTATAACTTCAGAATATCTCAGCTAGTTTACATTGAAGTCCATGTAGTTACTGGATAATAAGCCTCAGTATGTAAGCCTGAGATTTTGAGGGGTTTACATTGTTAACAGTTCATATTATAATATCATTAATAGTAACTGTTTTATAACCCCTACATTAGCATTCCTTCTACTATAATTTCCTTCCCCTAGAAACTTGGCCTCACCTGTTTGGCTTTACCCATTCAAACATAAGTACATGCTGGACAGGAATCGGCACATATTCAGCAGTGATGGATGGATGTAGCTATTTACAGTAAGATAGCAAAAAGGCAAATAAAACTAATGTGCCAAATATCTTGTAATAACATCATTCGTGTGATCCAGCTTGTTCACTCTACATTTCTCTTTTTCATTTTATACAGATTGAGATTTGTTCTTGGTTTGAGATCTGAAGCAGCTTGATTTTGTTTTCTCTCAAAGATGAAAACTTTATGCGCTGCTTATCTGATGTAGACAGTTTTGGTGTCTACCACGTCTTACAGGTGGTTGTTTAGAGCCCCATTTTCTCTGTAGCTTTATTCAGTTTCAGACTCTTTTCATTTTTCACTTTTTCTCTTCTCTTTCATATATATATATATATATATATATATATATATATATATATATATATATATATATATATATATAGTTGTTTTACTTTAAATTCTACATTCTAAAACATTTGCTGCCCTAACGAGTGGGACAGACATTGTTCACACTAAAAACAAACTAATAGCTAACAAGTAAATAGGTTCAAGGTGATGACTGTGTAGAGTGTGCAGTTGTTACTGAAGCTGAATTACTTCCTCTTTAAAGTCAGTTTAAAGTTTCATTAAAAAACAACAATGATCATGTCTCAAATACCAGTCAGTCCCCAGCTTCATTCTTCTGTTCTTCTCTCCAAATGGTACAAACTTCAGGCTTTAGGAGAGCTGCTGCTACTGTTTTTAGCTTTATACTTATGCACTTTAAGCCATGTTTATAGACAACAGTGAGTCATACAATGTCAAAAAACCCCATAATCAAATCTATTAGAGAAATAAACAACTCCACATGCTCGGAGGCAAATGTTTTGCAGACAGCACCATGCTAATTGGTGGAGTATAAGCTTATATTACTTGTTAGCTGCATTAACACCAAATGTATTGGCTAATCAACATCTACATTTTTGTACTATGCTTATTTTATCATGAACAGCATTACAATACAATGCAATTTGAGCAAAATATGTGTTTATTTCCGATCCGATTTGTTTCTTAGATCTGGTCTCTCTAACATGATTCACACTTGTTTAGGTTTTTCCACCGTTTACACCGTTAACTGCAGTCACACTAGGTAACTAAATCTTACAGACTTTTCATATGAAAAATTGAGCTATCATTTAATAGTGTAAGAGTGGGGTCTAATCAAGTACATCTATTGAAAGGGAGGAAACTGACTTTTGCTTTTAGATCACTGCTTTTCAGTTAGATGTTCTCTCAAAGTTTTACACTCTTGCTTGATTAACTCATAGCAACTTCTCTCTGTCTTTCAGTGTATCTGCTCTGTAGCAGTTCACAGCAGGATCAGGCAGAAGAGAGCCTGGGTCATTGACAGCTTCAGCATTGAGGAAGAAAACCCCGGCCCTTTCCCATACTTGTTGGGGACGGTGAGTATCATGTTACTAACCGCCTTCCACACAGAACAGATTGTTAAAGCTGTAAACGTGGAATGAAGAACCTTTGCCTGGAGACAAAACTGAAACTGCTGAGGTGCCTCAGGTTAGACCCTGAATTACTCAATTAAAAAGCACAATATCATTATGGTCATGTTTTTTCAGTAAAGCCCACTTTAGACGCTTTTCTCATTATGACCTGTATTTGTACTCAGTAGGACGTCTGTTATGTGAAAATCACTAATCTTCACAGAAATAGCTGTAATTATACATAATAAACACTTAAAGAAGTGATTGAGCATGAATTAATCATCTAAACTCATTTCTAATTAGTGGATAATTGGTAACATTTTTATTCCTATAGATTTAAGGTAGCATCAAGTGACTTCTGGAGATGGCTTTAGGGCTAATAAGAGTTTAAAAGATACTTCGAGATCTGTTCCATATTCCAAAGTAGTTTCGTTCATCACTAATAAGAGGTTAATAAGTGTTAGACAAGTTTTCACTTTTCAAAGTGTTCTATATAGAACCACATACAACACATTCATCAGTCTGAAAAACCACGTTCAACAGATTCTCCATCAATCTGAAGAACCATGTCACCATGTAGAGAACCATCTAAGTATATAAAAATGGTTCTTTGAGTGTTCTGTTAATGGTTCTAGTAAAAATAGTATAATAATTTGTATAGCTAGTTCTTCAAGAGGTGTTTTTGTGCCATATTACAATTAATAATAATGCAATTAATAGTGATTTTCACACAACCTTCATAACATATAACCTTCCAATTACGTACTAGCTCAACTTATAATGCACAATTAATCATTCAGACATACCTAATGACGTTAAATGGACTCTAGTAACTGGTTCTTCAAGGGTTAGCAAAGACAGTGGTTCTGTATAGAACCATGAACACTAAATGAACCATTTGCATCCCTAAATGGTTCTTTGCATTGTGAAATGGTTCTTCAGACTGATGGAGAATGTGTTGTATATGATTACATTTATAGAACCTTTTTGAAAAGGTTTCTTCTGTTGTTAGAATATTATTAAACCAGCTGTGGTGACAGTAGTTTAAGGTCTCTTTTTACATTCGAGTGTTGTTTAATTTTGTTCTCCCTAGGAAGCTCCTTCACCTTCATTCCCACCTTCACCCCATCATTATTGTTACATGTTGTGTGAAATCTTTCCAACCAAATCTAACGTCATTCATAATGACAGCAGCATCAATATGTAGAACCTAATATATTTATTTGTAACTATATCTATATATATCTGTAACTATACCTATAGTTTGTGAACCCTTTAGAATTGTCTACACTTCTGCAGAAATTTGACCTAAAACTTCATCAGATTTTCACCTAATAGTAGATAAAGGGAACCAACTAAACAAATGAGACACAATATTAGACTTGATCATTTATGTAATATGAAAATGATTCAAATTTATGCAGAAATATAGAAAAATTATAAAGCAACTTTCAACTTTCAAGCACCACTGTGTGCGTGTGTATATATATATATATATATATATATATATATATATATATATATTCATTTTTTAACATATCTTTATCCTTGAATACATACTTTTTTGAATACTGGCTTCCCCCCAGTAAACTACACTAACACCCACAGTAGTCATTAGAAAGGCTTATTGCTACATATCAGGGCTAAAGTAACAGTTCAGAGTGATTAAAACATTAATATCCAAAGAAAAACACATGCTTATCTTTACAGTAAACAGACATAGATTATATATATATATATATATATATATATATATATATATATATATATATATATATATATATTTTCTATGATGATATAAAGGATTTTTAACATGAGGCTCAATACTTAATAATGTAATAATTTGCATATATTAATTCTAAATTTTCTAAATGAGCCATTTTGTTCTTTTGTTCCAGATTGAACTGGACAAAAAATATTTGGTCAACTTCGGTCTGCATGGCAGCGGCGTTGATGAAGAGCCCAAAGGAGTTCTGACAATCAATAAAAAAAATGGCCAGATTTCGGTCCATAAGAAGGTTGACTACGAGACTTTTCACTTGCTCAAGGTATGTTTATCTTCAGCTTAATTAGAGCAAGTTTTATCACTATATGCACTACATTCTGAGCACGGTCAGAGTAACAGTTGTAACTGTTACTGAACAAAATAAAAGCATAGTTTGGTAACACTTATTATATCATTGTTTTATGTAACAATCATTAGTTATTCAGAATTTGAAATCTATAAATGTTCATAAGTGACAGATCATGAAGTTGCTAAAATGTGTATTCATATTTATAAACACTGTACATGTGTTCTTCTGTAAAGTCTATAACTAAAGAATATATATATTCTACAAATATCTGTTAACAGTATTTCTCATATGAGTACCTAGATGTTTAGCTGTAAAATATTTTGTTATCATGTATACATACTGGAGAAAATTTAAAGCTTGTGTCACTAAAGAAAGTTAATTTGCAGCAATGATTTGTATGCATGAACTTGTACAGCTCATTATTTATTAAGGAAAGGGTTTGTTGTAAATGTACTGCAAAACACCATGTACAGCATCTTTAAATATAAACACACACACCAATATCTATACAAATGGTCATTTACAAACATTTGACCAGATTTTGACCAAATTGATCAGATTTTTCAAATGAAAAACAACAAAAAAATAATAATATGTGAATTAGGGGTATGGGGTATGTTGCCTTAAAGCAACGTTGTGCGACAATGAAAAGAAATTATAGTGTCTAGAAATATGACTTTTTTATGTCTATATATTTAGAATGAAAATGAGAAGCTACACTTCTTGCAATACTAAAAATTATAAAATTTCTTTTTCAATTTCCTGAATAAACAAACCCCCGAAATTGTTCTAAATAGAAAATAAGTTCTTCAGAAAAAAAATTAGTCGCCTTGCGTGTTTGAGGTGGTAGTAACTTCAGGCTCCTGCAGATGGTGCTGCATGAGGATGATCAGTCTATAAATGCAGGGTGTGCGACGGGATTCACAGATTGAGAAGTTGCGGTACAGTGCGGTGAATGTCCCATTCAATGTGTGGAAAATGGATCACAAAGCATGATTGGAAAGAAAGGAATGATTGCATTTGGGAGTGCCAAAGGTCATAGAGTGATAGAAGTAGCTGAATTGCAGGTGTATTGAAATGTACGGTCATACAGGTCTACCAGCAGTGGCAGAAATCCCAGTCTACAGGAAATTCTCATCAAAACTGTGGCCGAAGGACTGACGGACAGGGACCACCGGCGTGTTTTACAGCTTGTGAATAAAAATCGCTTCCCTGTGGAGAGTTCTTTCAGTAATTGGTTGTGAAGGACCTGCGTTGACTTCTAGAAGCAATTCTTGCCTGGAAGTGGAACGATTCTTATTCACAAGCTCCCCAGACAAAAAATTAGTCACCACCTTAAACATGCAGGGTGACTAATTTTAAATGGAAAAAATACACAATGACTGCAGTTCTGACTTTTGTAACCTCACAGTGACTCTTTGTTTCTGTTTTCAAGTATCTAAACATATATCTATAAACAGGATTTCAAACTTGGGGAACCTGATTATAATTATCTTAGTTGATCTTGAAAACGACTTTTTTTCCTAACTATGTAATTTTGAAAACGGGCAGATTTACTAAGCAAGGCACAGATTTCCAACAGACTGACTCTTTGTGCAAGTGAGGGCGGCCAGTGAAGTGGGTTATCTGCAAAGATCTTCTTTTTAAATTAACTCAGGCACATCGTAAGTTTATGACCCACACAAGCTAAACAGGCTTTTTGTATAAAGGTCAGATAAAAAAACTGAGCTGATTCTGGTTAAAATGGTGGATCCTAGGTAAACCCAGTTTTCAAAAAAACAGAAAAAACAGAATGCAATAATATGCAAATCATTTAAATCCTGTATTTAATTGAAAATAATACATAGACAAAATAACAAGTGTTAAAACTGAGAAATGTTATTGTTTTTGAAAAATACATGCCCATTTTGAATTTGATGCTAGCAGTACGTTCCAAAAAAGTGTAACCACACTCTGCATGCATTCAGAAATTCAGATCAACCGCTGTAATTTTGAAAATGAACTGTTCTAGTTTTCATTTAAATATAGCGTTTTAATGATTTGCATATCATTGCATTTTGTGCAGCGTCCCAACCGAGTGCCATTAAAATTGTAGAGATATGGTAAAATCCCTGTTTAATCTATGATGATTTATTGCACTGTTGTCTCCCTGTTGTAGTTAACATTTGAAGCAACAAACGTCTCCACTAACAAAGTGGACACAAGGCTCGGGGTTGAAATCAAGATCTTGGACATCAATGACCACGCCCCAGTCTTTAGTCCACCTCACCAGCAGGCTACTGTGAACGAGTCTACAGCTCAAGGTGATCCAGCTCTGCACTTTTATTGTTTATTTTATTGTGTTTATTGTGGTTAATCTTATAGCCTCTATGTTAAGATCACATTGCCAGTCTTGATGGTCATCTAAATCTCAACAGGTCGGTTAGTAGCAACAGTGATGGCCACAGATAGGGATGACTCACAATCTCCAAATGGAACCTTCTCCTTCAATATTGTTTCTGTTACTCCTAAAACGGACAATGTGGAGTTTTTCCTTGAGCCGACTGGACCGTCCACTACAGGAAGGATATTTTTTAGGGGATGTTTAGACTATGAGGTAAATAAATGCACTGACTGTAAATGACTCTGTGTCTTATTAGTTAACTTCCCTCATACTCAAGATCTCTTTTGTTGTAATGTTTGGTAAAGGTCTATATTTCTTTTCCAGAAAGCAAAGAAATATACCATCCTGGTGGAAGCCAAGGATCAGGGAGATAAAGTGCAGCTCTCCAGCACGAGTAGCGTGACAGTGAACATTATCGACAAGAACAATTACCTCCCGGAGATCACGGGTCAAACAGTAAGTGCTAAAAATTTTAGATACGAAATACATGTAAATAAGCAATAATGAGCCACCTACTAAGTTAAATATTTTCTCTTCCTTTTTATGATACTAGTAGAACAAACAGCATTGAAATTATTATTCATTATGGTTTAACCCTCCGAGGTCTGAGGTCATTTTCTCGATTTGTGCATATCTTCTTAAACTCTTCTTTAAAGTCTCTTACATGATCCTAATATGTTTCATATCAAAATACTCCATTATCTTCATCACTGCTTTCCAAAACCGCTGCAGCAGCTTCAGCAGCTGTAAGCTTTCTGCACGCCATTTCACAAGAGTCTCCGATGTGGACTGATGTTTGAGTGTCCGGCGTGATGGTCAGTCCTTAGAGATTTCCTGAGTGTCCATTGGTCAGTTTCACACAGAATGTAGACGGACACACGAATCCACCAGTTCCACACAGTGAGAGGCAGATGACGTGTATCTCAGCCCCTCTTCATAGCCTCATAACTCCGGATGTGAGTCATGTACGATTTCGTGATGAGATAGAACAGAAAGTGTAACTCTTCAGATTCTGGAAATGTTTGACCTGTATTGACCTGCTGGATTACCACAAAGATACAGAAACAGATATTGAAACATCAAATTGGGCATATTTGTTGACCACCGAGTGCTGAAGGGCTGTAGTCGGCCATGCCGTACATAAAGCTTTGTCTATAAATTTACTCTAAGCCTCACTACGTCTTGCTTTCTCTGCCATCAGCATTAGTTAAATTCAGTACTTACTAATCTAACAGAACACAACCTAGCCCTTCACAATAAGAGTCCTCTTGGAATAACCCAGCAAATATGCTGCAGAACTAATATTCCAAAATTAACATGCAGAACATTTTGAACACGCTACGATAATTTTATCAGAAAACTACACAGAAGCCTCAACTAAATATAATATAAAATGTTTCATTTATTTAGTATATAGCATGTCTACTTTTTACCTTTATTTATTTACTCAAATGCACTTTCTCGATCTTTGTGTTGTCTGGCTAATCTCAGTCTTGCATCTACATGATTTGTTCTTTTCATTCTTTTTTCTGCATAGGCTGAAGCATATTTCCTATGCTTTGACTCATGCATAAAAAACAATACTATAAATTCAAGGTGTGACTTGCCTCTAAATTCTTTGATGTTATCCTGGAGTTCTTGGAAACTATCTGCCGTATCTTTCAACCAGATCTTGGCCTGAATTTGGTGGGATGGCCTGGCATGTATAGATGGTCTGTAGCGTAAAACATTCCTTTTATTTATATGCTGTTTTGGACAGTGGACTGTTAAGTACAAATTGACATGGCTTTCAAATGATGTAGCCACACAACTTAGTTGTTCAAACTGCACCAGATCACATTATTTCTGATGTTTATATAAGGTAGTGTCATCCAAAAAAATCTGAAATGATTTTATAATAATTTGCACCAGTTTTGGCAGTTATTTTAGTGTAGTTTTAGATCTTTCTCTCTGATAAATATTCAGGCATACAAATATACAGTGCAGTGAAAATGTATTTGGTTCTCACCTGATTTCTTCTCTGTTTGCTAATTTGTCACATTTAAATGTTTCAGGTCAACTAATTTTAATACAAGATAAAGACAACATGAGTAAACATTAATAATTGAGTAATTGAGTCATTTACATCCTTGTGGAGGAATTTCATCCCAATTTTCTTTGCATTTTAATTCAGCTACATTGTAAGGGTTTCGAGCATGAACTGTCCTTTGAAGGTTTTGAGATGGGATTCAAGGCAAGACTTTGACTCGTCCACTCCAAAACCTTAATTTTTTTTCTTTTGAGTCATTCAGAGGTGGACTTGCTTGTGTGTGTCAGATCACTGTCCTGCTGCATAACCCAAATGTACTTGAGCTTTAGATCACAAACCATTGGGCAGACATTCTCCTTCAGTATTTTCTAAAAGAGATCAGGATTCATGGTTCCATCAATTATGACAAGTCATCCAGGTGCAAAAATAGAAAAAATTAGGAAGGGTGCAAATGCTTTTTCACAGCACTGTATATACTCTTAGAGCAGTTCTGAGATGTTTTATGAAGATGTCCTGTTTATTCCATGTTTCACTAACAGCGTAGGACTACTATTGTAGGTCTTACTAACATTTATATTTTATATATCTCTTTTTAGGGCCCTGGTAGGATAAAGGAACGAGACAGTGGAGTGGAAGTCCTGCGCCTGCAAGTAGCTGATAAAGACAGTCCAGGTTCACAAGCCTGGAAAGCTAAATACACAATTCATGGAGATAAGGAAAAATATTTCAAAATAGAGACGGACCCCAAGACTAATGAAGGAGTCCTAACAGTTATAAAGGTATTTCATTGTTTTTTAACACATTCAGCTCTTGCTAAACAAATCTGCACCTTAATATCATGTCTTATCTTGTCCAATTTGTAGATGGCATTATGTTCACACTTAGCTCACATACTTGAGTCATACAGCTGTGGACATTATGGCAAGTGTTTCGCAAGTGATTTCAAATAGAGGGCATCATCTCTGAAATGAGGATAGTTAGACTTACTGCATCCTGAAGCTACAAGCTTATAATGAGTCAAATCAGGAAAAGAAAATAAAAACCTTTGCCAACTCATGACTGCAAAGGACATAGGAGCTTATGTAGCCTCTATCTGCAGGCTATCCCATTGCTGAAATAATATTTTATCATTGTTATTGAAGGAAACATAAGGACCTCAAAACAGGTGTAAAATGATCAAATAAATATTTTAAATTAATTTTTTGCTTAGTTGAATAAAAGCAATAATTGCAAACTTTAAAAACAGTTCAAATCGACTTATGCTCTGCTCCACTCTCTTAAATGGTTCTTCAGTGGTTCTTTAGTAAAGGGAATTGTCCTATAGAAAGTGGTTCTTTGCATGGTGAAATGATTTTTCATGTTGCTGGACAAAAGAACCTTTTTGAAAATCATTCTATATGGCACCACAAAGGGGTTCTGCTATTGTGACAATGTCAAGCTTGTAGCAATAGAAGAACCCTTTTTATACAGCTATACAGAACCATGTTCAACACATTCTGCATCAAACTGGAGAACCACTTCACCATGCAGAGACCCATTCAAGTTCACTTTTTACAGTGTGCTGTATTAAATTAGCTGTCAGTAAATTAGCATGTACAGCTTTGATTAAGATTTTTTTCAAAAAGATGTGATTTTGTGGTTTTCAGTTATAAAAATTCTACAGTTTAGTTCTTTATTGTTGCACATAAACTTGTATCTACATTTTTGTCATTTTATTTTTTGCATCATTTGAAAGCTCCAATTACACTTCACATTGTCTTAAAATCTCATGATGAACATGGAGAAATGTTTCAAAATAACTATTTTTTTAAGAAGAATTCTTATTACATTGGCCGCCACTACAAGATAAGAATGCTTTTCCTTCTCTTGTAAACCATTTTGGAGATACAAGGTTTTGTTCTGACAGAGACAAAATGCAGTTCACATTGATTTAATGAACCTCTTGTTCTTTTATTCTTCTTTAAATACACAGGCAATGGATTACGAGGAGCAAACTTCAAGAAATGTGTCAATCAGTGTGGCAAATGAGGTGCCATATTTCTCCTGTGAGATCACCGGACGTCCTGCTAAGAGATTATGGGATGTAAAGACCTTCAATGAAGAGCCTGGAAAAAGTTTACCAGACTTCCCTAAGTTGTCTCCTGTCACCATTGCTGTGGAGGACGTAAACGACCCTCCAGAGTTTGTACCACCTGTTAGAAAGGTGGGGATCATGGAGAACACAGAACCAGGAGCCCACTTGTGCACTCTTGAAGCCAAAGACCCTGATAAAACCCACTCCAGCAAATTTTAGTGAGTGGAACAGTAGCTGTCTTTAGCCTTTAACTTTCACTTGTTGAAAAGCTGATTGTGCTGGAAAGGACTTTCGCCTGAAATCTCTCTTTTTCGCTCTCTTTCCTGCCCCCAGTTTTAGCAAAGGAGAAGATGTAGATAACTGGATAACTGTAGATCCAGAAACTGGTGAAGTGTTCACAGCAAAGGTTCTGGACAGAGAATCACCCTTGTTGAAGGACAGTTCCTACAGTGTGATCCTCTATGTTGTGGATAATGGTAAGAAACAGCACTGCTTATATCTGTATTCATGAAAAAACTCTTATGAACACTGGAGAACAAAAAGTCTTAGCCCTATTATTTTAATCCAGTACGTGTGTAGTTTTGTGTGTAGTCTGACAGTAATAATTGTAGAGCGATTTTAATCCAGTATGAATCTGCAGTGTGTGTAGTTTTTATCATCGAGAGATTGAGAGTCCTTGGTTATGAATGATATTTTTAATATTTATTATATATTTTTGATATTTTTTTTGTAAGTTAATTTAATTCTCAAACGAATGCCCCCATTTTTGGGTGCAATGTTTGGAACAAATCCAAATACAGTGTAAACATGTAATAATCATAACTTCACATTTGTCTGCAAATTAATCAAGTAAAATAATGGATAAACTAGGGCTGCCAAGCAATTAAAAGAATGAATCTTGATGAAATACTTTATTTTGTTAAATAAACTGTGATTAATCGCAACTATCTGTAAATTACTATCTGTACAAAATAAGCATCGTCAGAATGTATTTATCACTTTTAATAATTTAATGACAATATTTTGATCATGTGATCACAGAACCTGAACATGAAAATCACTGATTTCCACAATGATCAAATTTTATGGTCCAATTTTCATCACTGACATCCAGTAAGAGCAACAGTGTCTGCATGTTCCAGCCATTGAATGTATATTCATACATACAGTTAGTGAGTGTGTATATCATATACATCATACATGTAGTCAATGAGTGTATATATGATATATATCATATATACAGTCAATGAGTGTAAATATCATACTGTAAATCATATATACAGTCAGAGAGTGTATATCATATATATCACATATACAGTCAGTGGTTCAGCTCCTCTATGATTGCATCGCTCACTCTCGTTCATACAGCTTGTGGGTTCCTGTTACAGTGGAGGATCTCGAGGGGAGCTCCACCAAGCTGCTGCTTTTGTTAGTTTGCTGCTTGTTGATTTATCCATAGTTCTCCTGCAAGTGTCTGTCCAGTGTATTCTGCTGAAGGTGCCGAAGACTGCAGTCTAAAATACATCTAAAAGCTGTATTTGAACGAGAGGCTACATTCACAGATTCCATTAGAGCAACATAGCGTGCTATAGCTTATTTACTTGGATGCTCAGTCTTTGCACATAAAACGTCAGACAATTATGTTCTCCATCTTCATTCTGTAGGGGAGCCTCCTGCCACAGGCACAGGAACTTTGGTAATCCAACTGGGAGATCTAAATGATAACGCACCCCACCTGACCTCCAACAACTCGATCATGTGTGGGAATAAGACTGCCCGGGTGACAGTGAAGCCTGATGATGCTGACGCACCTCCATATGCAGGACCCTTTTCCTTCTCTATTGCAAGTGAAGATAAGAAGCTGTTGAGCATGTGGAAGTTCAACCCAAGCAGAGGTGAACAATGTTTCAGTGGTTTTATGAACAGTCAGTGTTTTCCCCCCAACATCTTTGGTTTTTTAAAAGATTCATGAATGTGTTACAGAATAAGGTATTCTCTTCTCTGTCCTAACTTGGCAGTTTGCATAAATGCCTTCATTAGAGACCATTACTCATCACAAGATGAGAGCTTTGTTGTTAACATCTTCTCTTTTCTGATCATAGTCAAGATTAAGGGTTTTAAAGTAGTCAGGATGCATTGAAGAATATTAAAACCCCTGTCTACTTATGTAACCTCAAACTATCTATATTTTGTTGTGGTGTTTTTACTCTGAACTGACAGAGAATGTTTGTCCTTTCTTGGGAGAATTTTTTAAAACTGACTTTTTCTACAGTTTTCTTCAGTGTCATTTAAGTTGGGTGAGACTAAATTTGGCACAGGTGATGTCATATCTGCCAAAGTACCAATCAGAGTTAGCAGTATGTATATGTCAGCTACTTGTGTTCCTCCTCATACATTGACTGATCTCCCACTGCTCTGAGTCCCAGACGAACTCTCAGACTTTCAGCAAGTGGCTTATGTAAGCTTTTCTAAATGTGTTAATGTGCAATGTGTAAGAATAACTTAATTTGCAACGAGAGCTAGCGGTCCATCTTAACTGTAGGAATTAAATTATACATTAGTTTAGTGTGACATTAGCTACCCCTCAACATCTAGGCTCACATTGTTTCCCTGTAAAATTACTTTAGTTACAGCAGGGTATACAGTTATAAGCAGGTGCAGCTTGGAATTTTTTATTTCATCATTTTATCATCATTTATCCACTATTCAATTGTATTCTGGTATATAAATTTATTGCACATAACATTGTCATACGCTTTTGAACATATTTGTTTACTATCAAAACAAGAACTTAAACATTTGAAAGCAGGTTGATAGGGGCTTTAATGGCTGTGCTTAGAGTTGTAGAGAGGGGAATGATCCTCCTCTAACAAGGATCAGTATGATCAAATGGAGCCACTGAATGGATTTTACTGGAAGAAGTGCAGTTCAAATTCCTTATTGCCCAACAATTTAAGAGAGACTCCTAAGAACCTAAGAAACTGAAAAGCTTTTCAGAAATTCAGATGAAAAAAAGGCCTCACATCATTGTTTGCCCAAAGCTGAGCTCCCTATATCCATTCACTCTAAAGCAAAAACAGTTATCGAGTATAGGAAACAGTTATCAAGACTGAGTAAGATAGTTTGTGTGCCTGGATTTACCCATTTCTAATATTTGACAGAAGTGACATATCTCATCAGCTGAGATTAAATCACTGTAGATCTGGAAATATAGCTGTAATACAGTGGTCACCAGCCCTGGGCCTTATGATCTACCTTTCTGTAAAGTCTGGTTACAGCCACAATCTGCCACACCTTCTCTGGCTACTTAACTTCTTCAAAGGTCCCTCAATAGCTGGATCAGATTCTTATGGTTAGGCACGGTGTGTGAGGGCAGGGGGGGTCAGCATGTTAGACGTAGGTTGGAACTAAGCTCTACGTGGCAGTAGATCTCCAATAGCATGGTTGATAACTACAGAAAGCAATGCAAAACAGAAAGAGCGTAAAGGTTTAATATGGTTTGTGAGCTGTGTTTCTGCTGCAGGGTCTGAATCTTCATTGATAAGTCTGAAGAGTTTGCCATACGGGAACTACTCGGTTCCACTGCGGATCGAGGACCAGCAGGGGAAAGTAGGACTGGACACTCTGAATGTGGTGGTGTGTGACTGTGGGGATAAAGACGTGTGCCTGTCTCATTCTTCCAACCTGCATGGAGCAGCTTTAGGAATCCTACTGGGATCGATGGTGATACTCGCTTGTAAGGGTCTCTAGGAAAAAGTCAAGACAGATACTATAGCTTTCTCATTTATACCAGTTGCAGTATTTCACATGAAAGTAGACCTCTTTTTTGTATCTGCTGGGATAAAATCAAATCACTCTCTTTAAAATGACTCTCTTTAAAATGGCTCCTGTAACTTCTCAAATGGTAGCTCCTACCTTTACTTACAATATATGGACAAAAGTATTGGGACACCTACACATTGTACCCACAGAAGCTTTATGAATGCCATTCTAAATCCATAGGCATTCATATGGAGTTGGTCACCCTTTGCAGCTACAACAGCTTCCACTCTTCTGGGAAGCTTTCTATAAGATTTTGGAGTGTGTCTGTGGGAATTTTTGCTCATTTATTCAGAAGAGCATTTGTGAGGTCAGATGTTGATGTTGGCCAAGAGGGCCTGACTCACCATCTCCATTCTAGACTATCCCAAAAGTGTTTGATGTGGTTGAGGTCAGGGCTTTGTGAGGGCCAGTCAAGTTCTTCCACACCAAACTCACCCAGTCATGTCTTTATGGACCTTGCTTTTTGTACTGGGGCTCAGTCAATCTGGAACAGAAAAGAGTCTTCCCCAAACTGTTCCCATAACGTTGGAAGCATATAATTGTGTAACATGTCTCGGTGTGCTAAAGCATTAAGATCTCCCTTCAGTGGAACTAAGGTGCCTAGACCAACCCCTGAAAAACAACCCCATATCATTATCCCTCCTCCACCAAGCTTTATAGTTGGCACAATGCAGTCAGGCAGGTAATGTTCTCCTGGCTTTTGCCAAACCCAGACTCGTCCATAAGACTGCCAGATAGAGAAGCGTGACACTTCCATTTCACAAAACTAGCACTTAGAGTTGAGAGAGGCAGACCTAGCAAGACAGAACTTTCACAAACTGACCTATGGCAGAGGTGGCATCCTATGATAGTGTCATGTTTAAAGTCACTGAGCCCTTCAGTATGACCCATTCTACTGCTAGTGTTTGTCCATCAAGGCTGCAAGGCTGTGAGCTTAATTTTATCCACTTGTTAGCAATATGTGTGGCTGAAACACCTGAACTTAATAAGTAATGGTTATGTCCCAAGACTTTTGTCTATATAGTGTATATTTGCAAATTACCAGTTGGTGTTTTGTCAGCCTGAGACAATGAAAAAGAAAAGAGTAATACAGCCACATTCCAGTGAGAGTGCTGCAGATCAAATACATCATTTCATCATTTTCTTAAGTGTAACCCACTTGTCAATGTCATTTTCAGTGCTGCTCTGCTGTTGTTTCTATTGTAAACACAAAGCAAAGCAATTTACACAGTATCTCCAAAACGAAGGGACCCAAACCCTCATCATCTATAATGGGGTCGGAGGGGGCTCACTCGCCAAGGTTTGTCTGGACTGATTGACATATTAAAACAATGTGAAATTGCATGAATGTGAACAGATCTATTTATGCACTTCTTACAAAGGCTAAAATCTAGTTCTTTCCCATTTAAGTAGATTGTTATTTGTCAAGAAATTAAATTTCCATTCTCCGTTTTCCAGTATAAACACATACCACAGTTTTATATTAAATTGTGTTTATGCTTTCAACCAAAATGTTTATCTTTCTTTTCATTTCCTACCTTACCTTAGTCTGTCCTGCCTTAGCCTACCTTATACTACCTTATCCTACACTACACTACTCTGTATACTATACAATTTCTTACCCTGTCCTGCCATGACTTTCTGTACCCTACCAGATCTTACCCTATTCTTCTATGTCTACCCTGAACTAGTGCTGGGCGATATGACCTCAAATCGATATCACGATCAATTGAATATTTTACCTCGATTACAATTAATGAATGATTATTTAGTTTTTGTAGTTTTGCCCTCATAGTTCAGATCTGATTTGTTTGTTCTGATAAGATTTGTACTGTAATATGCTGTGCATATTTTAATGTAAATTGTCTCAACAGCCAGATCGGATTTCACATGGCCTTTATGTCAATCCAACTCGACAGTTGTCATAATTTCATGCTGCTGAGACCGAATAAACATTCAGGGAGATATTTCTGTACAAAAACAAGAAGACACTTATACAAAACACCACCGTGTTTGAAAAGATTTCAAAAGAAATGGCCATAGGAGAGCAAAGCTGCTGCGTCAAAGAACAGTTTAAAATCTGAAAGCAAAGTTGAGAACCAATGAACTGACCAAATATTGTGCCCTTTTTTACGGTGAGCTCGAACACATTCTGACTGATGAGCCTAGCTATCATTCAGTGAAGCTTCATGATCGCTCCTTTGATGCTGCCAAAGATGAAACTGAAACCTTTGGGAGCGACTGGCGTTCATTGGAAGCCATGATTGTTTACCTCTGGATGAGCCACATGAAGCAACGTGACGCATTGTTCTTTTGTGCTGATCTGTTCAGACTGATGTCGTATACAGCTCACATTTAAAAAAAACTGTGACCAGCCAAACAGCCAAAGGATTTGGTGAGAAAATTAGATTTGGGCCACATTCAGCTGCTGTGAGAACATAGCCTTAGCTTCCATGTTGCAGACTGGATGTGGCGGAGTCACGTGACTACACATGCGATAGTAAATGTTTAAGGGGACAGTACATGAACACACAGAGCAGGGAAAGGATTAACAGAATTTTAAAAAATCAGAATAACCGGCATGAGCAAGATTAGGTCGGTCAGAGGTTCTGAATGTCAGTTACGATTAATTTTCAATTAATTACCTAGCCTTACCCTGAACCTACTTTGTCCTAACTTACCATACACTGTCCTATTCTACCTTACAATACCTTACCCTACTTTACTTTGCCATTTCTTATCCTATCCCATCATACCCTACGCTACTGTGTCTTAACCCTGCTCTAAAATATCTTGCCATATCCCATCTTCTCTTACCTTACCTCACCCTATCCTTTCTTACTCTACACTGTCAGTTAACCCTACCTTGCTTTACCCCACCCTACTATTGCTTATCTTACCCTATCCTACCATATCTTATCCTACCATGCCTTCCCTTCCCTAATTTGTCTGATCTTACCCTACATTGTTGTACTCTACCCTACAGTACTTTGCCCTACTCTACATACCTCACCTTATCTCACCCTACCGTGATATTTCCTGCCTTACCCAATCATACCGTACACTACTGTTTCTTAACCCTATTCTAAACAGTCACCTAACCATACCTTTCTCAGCCCACCCTACTCTTTCTTACCTTGCCCTGATGTACTCTATCTTACCCTATATTACTGTTTTACTCTAGAGCCTAGATGAATGTACAGACACTGTGATGTCACACATCCGTTTCTGTGAGGACAGGTGCATTTCCACTATGACATGGGTGGAATGCAGCAACAATGAACCAAGTTGCAGCAGTCAGGAGTGGGGAACAAATTCTCTATAAGGAGGCCAAACACAAGCTGGAGAAAAGGATTAAAGCAGACAGAATGTGAGAAAAGACCCAGGACCTGATCTAGTCTCTCCAAACACCCTAAAGCACTGCTGTGCCAATTTTTACCAACATTTTCAATAAATCACTGGAACTCTGCTCTGCTTCCACATGCTTTAAATCGTCCACCATTCCAGTCCCCAGGAAACAGAACATTACTGGACTAAATGACTACAGGCCAGTAGCCCTGAGTCTCTGTAGTCATGAAGGTCTTCGAATGCTTGTTCGTAACCCACCTGAAGACCATTACCAACTCTTTGCTGGATCAGAGCTAACAAGTCTGTCCATAACATGGTCAACTTGGCCCTGCACTTCATTCTGCAACATCTCAACACTCCTGGAACCTACACTAGAGTTCTGTTTGTGGACTTTAGCTCGGCATTCAACACCATAGTGCCAGCGTTGCTGCAGGTCAAATTGTCCCGTCTGTCTGTGCCAGATCCCATCTGCTGGTGGACCATGGATTTCCTGACAAACAGGAAACAGCGGCTTGAAAACAACAAGTCAGTCCCCTGGACACTTAGTACTGGAGTACTACAAGGTTGCATGCTCTCACCCTTTCTCTTCAATCTCTACACCAATGATTGTGTCTCTAGGGATCCAGCTGTGAAGATCCTGAAGTTTGCAGAAGACACCACTGTGGTGGGCCTCATAGCCAAAGGTGTTGAGTCTGCCTACAGAAAGGAAGTTGAGCAACTGGTCTCCTGCTGCAGCAGCAACTACTTGTTGCTGAACATGGAAAAGACGATAGAGATGGTGGTGGACTTCAGGCGCAATACCCGCTCCCTACCCCCACACACCATGAACAGCTCTGTGGTTCCCACTCTGGAGTCACTTAAGTTCCTGGGCTCCACCATATGCAGGAATCTGAAGTGGGAGAGGAAAACGGTCTCCATCACCAAGAAAACAGAGAATGTTCTTCTGAAACAGCTGAAGAAATTTAACCTGCTGCAGAGTCTGATGATCCAGCTCTACACAGCGATCATCGAGTCCATCCTCACATCATCTGGTTTGGTTCCTTCACCTCGCAAGAACAAGCCAAACTCCAGCACATAATGTGGACAGCAGAGAGGATCATTTAATGTAGCCTGCTAATGCATCGGAAACAGCAGAGTGATAAACTGAACAGCAAAAACTACAGCTAACCCCTCGAATCCTGGACATCACCTCTTCCAGAGACTCCACTCTAGTAAAAGATTCAGGATCATCAAAACCAGCACAGCCAGACATGCTAACAGCTTTTTCCCCAGAGCCGTAGCTCATTAACCACAGTGGACACTTCACACTTTAGAAACTTAAACCAAACCAGACAGACCTTCTTGCAGTGTTACTGTAACTCCTCTGTAACAGAATCCTTATTTACACAGCTGTATAGATGTTAAACGTTTTGCAGATTTCCATGTCATTCTGTAATATTCTGTATGTAATAGTTATCATACTATGCTTTATAGAACGTGAGTTTGATTCTGATTCTGAAGAACAGTCAGAGAACAATTTGCGTGCTGAAATGGTTCTCTGCCTGGTGAAATGTTTCTTCAGATTGATGGAGAATGTGCTG